AAAAGCCGGCCGGCCGGGTCTATTTAAAAGTTTCATGTTATGAAAACCAAGTAATTAAATTTGTATGGCCTAATATAAGTTACTTAACCAAAATTTCATTGTTATACACAAACTAAATTCATATAAAATACTTACTTCAATAGTATTTTCCAATAACCAATCAATGTCAATTTTAGTTATAGTTTGTGGCAGGTTTATTATATCAATGTCAGGCCCACAAATCATTGAAAGGACTATACTCTGGAGAATTGGTGATGAAAATTCAATTTCTATAAAATCTTCATTTATAGATTTAAAAACAATGATTCCTTCAGCAAGAAGTTGATATATTTTACCATCTTTATTATTACACTTTATTGAAAGCAAAAGGAAAATAAGTAACATATATATATTAGCAACTAACAAATAGCTGAGCCTACCTCATAAGTGTAAGTTCTGTGGCAAAGAACAATGCTAATTATATCTATTTGCTTTAATGAAAGATTCTTAATGACATGAACAATGGATTTAAAAGTTCCAAGTTCCTTTATATACTTTATTAGCTTTGTCAAAGCATATTTTATCCACTAATCAAATGTTAGCATGTTTTTTCTTACAATCACTTCAGTTTTTATCACCATGCAACAAGCCCCAACCAGACCTTTATGACTATTAGTGCATTCATAAATATCTTCAGCAATCCTATGCATATCAAGATTAATACTATATTGATTGCTATATTGATATAAAAGTGTTCTTATTTTATTGTTATTAAAAAAACACAGGACTATAATATTGCTAGTTATAAGATTGGTTTGTATTGGAAACTAACCAACTCCCACAAGCACAAATGAATATATATAGTAGGATAAGTGGTCTTTAAATAATTGTAACATATTGATTAGCTCTTCCAAAATTAATGGTTTCTCAAAAAACCATTAATTATAAATAAAATAGAAGACCTATTCCTTTTTTTCTTAAAGAAATTTACAAAAACATTTGCTCTATATTTTTTTTGTATTATTAAAAGAAAATTATTCACTATTTTTAGCATAAAATAGTTTACAAATTAATAACCAAAAGATTATTTTTCCATTTCTTATATCAATTCCAATAGTAAATATAATCAAATATATTTCGAGATTAGGTACTGGTAGCTCATTAGTATATGTCTTTTCTTGTAAAATATTTATAGTTGCAATGATAGTAGTCATCTTTCCGCTTTGGCAGTTATCTTTAATATAAATGTAGTGTTTGTCTACAAGATACTAATATATATCTATGATTGTACATTTAGAAGCAATATAAAAATTAAACTTTTTCATTAGCTTTTATGCTCTCAGAAAAATACTCTAAAAAAATAAAATTACATTATATTTTTAATTTATTTGTTCCAAACAGATACTTTTAACTTACTAAACATACATGGAGGACCAAGTTAATAACGGCCAGACCCAATGTACAGGACAGGCTATGGTACCCTGCACAACTGTGAGAACCGAGTATACGGCGAGTGCCTCTATAGAAGGAATACTAAATATCTCAGATTCCAATTCTTCCAATCCTTCTGAGATTCAAACTCATGATAATTT